TGAAAAAGAAAAGGATGAAAGAACTACTGACTTAGGAGGAAAAAACCTTGAGGAAAATCCTGAAAATTATGCTGACAAAAAGACCCCACCACAGCTAGCAAGCCATCCTGATACTACAGTGACTCTTAAAGCTTCTGATCTAAATGAAAAAGATATCCTCCAAGGATCTCAAGAAGATATTGACAGCAAAGACATTGACAACGAAGACATTGACAACAAAGACATTGACAACAAAGACATTGACAACAAAGACATTGACAACAAAGATATTGACAACAAAGACTTTGACAACAAAGATATTGATAACAAAGACATTGACAATAGAAAGGCAGACATAGTTGAGGAATTAGCAATTGATAAGCCAGAAGAAGTGATCACCTCCCTACCAGATGAAGAAGCAAGGTATGTTGTGGGTGATGATTATGGTGAGGATGAAGAAGAAGAGGAAGAGGAAGAGGAGGAGGAGGAGGAGGAGGAGGAGGAGGAAAAGAAAACAATAATAGGTGTTACTCCACAAACTTCTGAAGACTATAATGAATTAGGCTTACTATTTGAGAGCTTCATAGAAAACGAAAACTTCAGGGTTAAGCTGAATTCCAAGAATTTGCAGAAATTTCCCAAAGGCCTTTTTAAACATCAGGATGTAAAATATCTCTATTTAGATAAAAACAAAATAAAAACTTTTCAAGTGGAGCCAAATATGGCAGGTCTTGAAGTATTGTCCATGAAAGAAAATGAATTAATAGCACTACCACCAGAAATTAAATTGCTCTATAATCTAATTGTGTTAAATGTCAGTCACAACTACATAGCCTCCCTCCCGGCAGAAATATCACAGCTTGTCTGGCTAAGGCAACTTTTCTTGGATAGCAATAATTTTTTGGAATTTCCTAAAATATTAGAAAGTCTTGAAAAGTTGGAATTTTTAAGCTTATCTGGAAATAGCCTAAAAGATCTACCAGAAACGATGACCAATATGAAAAATTTAAAGGTCCTCAATCTCAGCTCAAATCAGTTTTCAATATTTCCTAACATCCTTTGCTACCTTCTGAAGTTAATTAAGCTAAGTGTCTCAAAAAATCTCATAAGCAGTTTGCCAAAAGAAATCAGACAGCTAAAGAATTTGGAAGAATTTTTCCTGGACCACAATAAACTGACATTTTTACCTGTGCAAATCTTTCAGTTGCTGAAACTAAAAAGGCTCCATCTAGTTGATAATAAACTGGAATATCTTTCCCACAACATTAAGAACTTCAAAGAACTCAGGGTCCTCCAACTTGACAAAAATTTATTGAAACAGCTAAATGAAGAAATTTATTCCTGTGCAAAGCTAGAATATCTTAGCCTTAGTGACAATGACTTAGAAATAATTCCCACTAACATTCATAGGCTTACAAACCTGAGAGCACTCAACATCAACCGAAATAAAATGGCGGTTCTTAATGAGGACATCTCCCATCTGAAATATCTCAAGGTGTTAGAATTTTCTGGAAATGCAATCAAAGACATTCCGATTGAAATCAAAAATTGCCATCAGATAAGGAAAGTGGACTTGAGCTTTAATAAACTAAGTGATTTCCCAGTAGGCCTTTGTGCTCTGAACTTCCTTGAGCATTTGAACCTTAATGGAAATGAGCTTTCAGAAATACCTGTTGACCTCTCGTTTAGTACACAACTAATTCACTTAGAATTAAATCAAAACAATTTATCTTCCTTTTCTGACTACATATGTAGACTTATAAACCTCAGTTACTTAAGTCTTAGTAAGAACAGAATACTTCAAATACCACTGTCTATCTCCAATATGACTTCTCTCCGGGTGCTTATTTTAAGTGACAATATATTTGAAAACTTCCCCAAAGAACTGTGCACTTTAGAAAACCTACAGACACTTGATCTTTCCAACAACCAAATACAGTATGTCCCTTCTGAAATCAGTAACCTACAAGTGATCCAAAACTTGGACTTATCAAGCAACAGATTTGAATGTTTTCCAATTGAATTGTGTCAGCTATCTACCCTGAAAGAGTTGAAGTTGTGCCAAAAAAATGGACTGAAGGTAAGAGAAGAATAATTTTTTCCCTTCCTTAAGGTAAAAAATATTTGAGCTTGTATTTTCAGCTTCTTAAATTAAACCTATTTGCTGCTCCATTTAAATAAAGGTTACAGATACAGCTGTATCCCTTTAATAAGGGAGCTAGACATGAAAAAAATAGCTTAACTGACAGCTGGTGCCAATAACTAAAACATGTTATCATTCACAGTTACCTTTTAAATAAACATTAAAAAGTCACTTGTGGGAATCCTCTCTAAAATCATAGAACCTTAGAAATTTCAAGTTGGAAGGGACTTCAGAAGTCCTAGAGTGCAGCCCATAGCACAGCTACCTTCTGCAACTTCCTTGCCAAAGATCCTTTGCTGGAATACCTCTATTGATAGGGTCCTCATTCACTAAGTCCTGAGGCATTTCTTTCCAATTTTATACAATTCTGGTTGTTGGAGAGTTGCCAAAAGAAAATTGAGCTGAAATTTGTAGACTCCTGTTCTTGCACCCAAGGACCACATTACTTTTTGGGCTGCTATTACATCACACAATGATTCGTGTTGACCTTGCTATCTATTAGACCCCTAATTCTTTTTCACTTGAGCCATTTTCTTGCCAAATCTCCCCACTCCTGTATATGCAGCAATAGATTTATTTTACAGCACGTGTAGGACTATTGCTATTCTTCCTTCATCTTGTTCTATTCAGTCCACCATTCCAGGCTGTCAAAATCTTTTGGGATCCTAATTCTGTCTTCTAATATTTTACCTATCCCTCTCAGTTCTGTGTTTTTATAGAAAACTTTATATGCCTACTAATTCTTCCTTCTTTCAAATCATCAATAAGAAGAGAACTGGGCCAAACACACAGACATGTTGCACCCAACTGAAGATTTGCCTTCAGGTTGACATTGATTCATTATTTAATGTTACCTAAATATTAAGTAATGTCAAATATTAATAATAGCAATAACAATTAACTAATAATATTAAATAAACAACACTCCATATTTTCTCCATTTTGTTGCTTTCCTTTTGATACATTACATTTTATTGGATAAAGAATTTTTTTTTTGTTTTCATATTTGAATATATCCATTTTATGTCTGATTATATCACTTTTTACTTAAGTCAAGATCTCTCCCATCCAAAATTGACCAGGTCTGAACCTACCTGTGTTATCATTCAGTATTCATCTTTTCATCTTGTCCTCAATGTATTATAAAGGGACTGTCAAGTACCTTAATAAAATTCAGATTCCTTCATCTATAAAATGAGAAGAATATTAATAGTTGTCATTCCTGACACATGAGATTGTTGTCACAAGATTCAAACAAGACTGGGCAGGTCAATTGCTTTATAAACCTTAAAGTAGTAAAAAAAATCTGCCAGTAATCATCATTGTCATCACCATTATCATCATCATCATCAACATTATCAGCATCAGCATCTCCTCAGCATTCTCCAGACCTAAAACAGTTTAGTGACCCTATTGAAAAAAAAAAGAGATTGGTCTGGTGTGACTTAAGTCTTAATGAGCTCATGCTGGCTTTTAGTAATCACCTCTTTCCTTAAAACCATCCTCTTAATAATTCATTCTAATAATGTTTCCTGATATTTATTTAGTGCTATTTTCTCATCAGAGCCTCACAAATACATTGTGATGTAGCTGTTACACGTTATTAACCCCATTTTCCAGATGAAGAAACTGCGGCTTAGAGAAACTAAGTTCCAACTAATAAATGTGCATGTGTTAGAGGTAAGGGGAGAAGATACTCTGGTATCTTCTGACTCTAGGTTTGACACATATAACACTATGCTACACAGTCCCTTAAGAATTTGCATGAGGCTGTTTTCAAGTTCATTGACTTATGGGTTGAAATATTAAGCTTACTTCCCCTTTATGAAAACATATAGTTTCCTAGAAAAATAAAAATGTACCTGCTTCTCCTTATCCCCACCAATATAGTTTTAAAATCATTTTAATTTATGGTTGCTAGTTTAATAGGTAGCATAATGATATTTTAACATTCCTTACATTTACATTTTTCACTGCTTGGTTGAGGACATACATTTTTTGTAGACATAAAAACTATCTGTTTAGAGTACTTTTCCACTGTAAAAGAAGCGTTAATCTTTTTTATTTATATAATTTTCTGGCTTATTTTGTTTTACAGCTTTTATCAGTTATATTTGCCACATATACAGGGTGTTCTAAAACCTTTGCTATAGTTTCAAGCTATTAAAGCTTTCAGGTCATCCTGCATTTTCTCCATTTTGTTGCTTTCCTTTAGATATTTAGTACATTACATTTTGTTGGGATAAGAATTTATTTTTTTGTTTGTTTTTGTTTTTTTGACCAGGTAGTTGGAGTTAAGTGACTTGCCCAGGGTCACATAGCTAGTAAGTGTCAATTGTCTGAGGTCAGATTTGAAGTCAGGTCCTACTGACTCCAGGGCTGGTGCTCTATCCACTGCACCACCTAGCTGCCCCAAGAATTTATTTTTTGTTGATATATTCGAATTACATCTATCTTGTGTCTGATTAAATCCATCATTTTTGATTTAGTGGTCCCATCCAAAAACTAGTATATATGTGTCATAATGTATTCTTCTGTTTTTGTTTCTGTATGCTGTATGTTATATGTTTTGTTAACTTTGTTTACATTAGTTCTTTGGATCATATGAAAATTATTGCAGGTTTTATGTGGGTTAATCATTGTCCGTACAGATATCCATATATCTTAACATCTATTGTACAGCATTTCTTTTCCCCTTTTCCTACTCTCCTATTACCTCTGCTTATAATAGATTGACTCATAACAGTTTGAAGCCGTCCGCCCTCCATAATTGCTTCTGAAGACAATCTCACTCACCACTCCGCTACCATTTTGGAAAAAAAAATAATGACTTTTAAGCATGAATGACTTTTCACTTTTTATTGAACTTTTGTTACAGTTAACCCAACTCTCAGATGAACTGTCTAATTTGCCTCAGCTTGAAATCCTTGATATCTCACATAACAATATAAAAGAACTTCCAAAGAATATAGGAGAATTAAAAAGTTTGGTCAGTTTCTACGCCAGTAACAACTTGATAAATGCTCTTCCACTATCTTTTGAATCTTTAAACAAGCTCCAGCATTTGAACATGAGTGGTGAGTATTGAGTCTTTTCTGTCCTTAGGGAAGTGAAAAAGAAGCTTAAGGATGGTAGATGTGTTCTTCTTTTGGAGACATCTGCCAGAGTTGCATGCAGAGTGAATAGACAAGGACCAGGGGCATTTGAAGGAAGAGAAATGCAAAAGTCAAATCGGATGGGCACCGGTACTGTGTTAGAGGACGTATTAGGATGGAAAGAGCTTTCAGTTTTGAGTCAGAGGATCAGGGTTGCAACCTTGGTTCTGCTCCTCAACTGCCCGAGTCACCTTGAGCAGGCCACTTTATCATTCTGGGTCTGTAAAATGATGAGATTGTACTAGATGACTGTGAAGGTATCTTCAACTCTTTAAATTCTTAAGAAAAATGTGAAATCAATGGGCATATACTTAAGGGTTACAAAGAAAGAATATGATTTAGTTCCTGGCCTGGAAATATGCATGCCTTAGCTGGAGAAGCTGAATGCATGTATTCAGGTGCCTATTCATGTATGTATACATATGTTTTTATACATATACGGAGATTGATATTTTATATGTGGAGCTGGAGAAACTGGATGTGTGTGCATATATAGGCATACTTCAGAGATATTGTAGGTTTGGTTCCAAAGCACCACAGTAAAGCAAATATAATAAAGCAAGTCACATGAATGTTTTGGTTTCCCAGTGAGTATAAAAGTTATGTTTACACTATACTATAAATTTTTTGGTAAGGCAGTTAGGGTTAAGTGACTTACCCAGGGTCACACAGCTAGTAAATATCAAGTGTCTGAGGCCGGATTTGAACTCAGGTCCTCCTGACGCCAGGGCCGGAGCTGTATCCACTGCACCACCTAGCTGCCCCATATACTATAGTTTAGTAAGTATTTATTAGTATTATGTCTAAAAAATACATATCCTTTAATGAAAAAATACTTTATTGATAAAATGCTAATCGTTATCTGAGCTGTCAGTGAAAGTCTTAATCTTTTTGCTGGTAGAGGGTCTTGCCTTGATGTTGATGGCTGCTGACCGGGGTGGCGGTTGCTGAAGGTTGGGGTGGCTTTGGCAATTTCTTCAAATAAGATAACAATGAAGTTAGCCACAGGGATTGACTCTTCCTTTCACTTGAACACTTCCAGGCCATTGTAGGGTTATTAATTGGCATAATTTCAATATTGTTGTGTCTCAGGGAGTAGGGAGGCCAGAGGAGATCCCTGTCAGTCAGAACACACCCAACATTTATCAATTAATTTTGCTCTCTTATATGGGTGCAGTTTGTAGCTCCCAAAACAATTACAACAGTAACATCAAAGATCAGTGATCATAGATCACCATAGCAGATGTAATAACAGTGACAAAGTTTGAAATACCGCAAAGATTACCAAAATATGACACAGAGATACTATGTGAGCACATGCTGTTGGAAGAATGGCGCCGGTAGATTTTTTCTACACAGGGTTGCCACAAACTTTCAATTTGTAAAAAACACAATATTGACGAAGGACAGTAAAGCAAAGCACAATAAAACAAAGCATGTCTTTTTGTCAACAGGCAATCACAACGTCACACATGAAAACCAGGTTTATTATAAGAGAAATGAACACGCATGTGGAACCCAAAGGGTTCACAGTCCCTACAGAAGTTTGTACATTTATGACAGTACAAGGAAAGGAGGAGGAGAGAACAGAAGGGGTGTGGCATGGGAGGGGAAAGGTGCAGTAACCCTTCCCAAAGGGGAGGAGCAGGAACAAGGCAATGACAAAAGCAGCATTCTTTTCCCTTGGGAACTGTTAGAATAGACCATGAAGATAGGAGAATCTGTCTATCTGCAAAGGATCCCAGCTACACAAGCCTTATCCCAGCCTGGCACAGACTGGCAGGCACCTGTCTTGCCTCCCAAGAGTACACAAGAAGTCCAGCTTGGGGTACAAAAAAGGTATTACGTCAGCTTGAGGGGGTGCTTCATCTTTGACACATTCAGGGTCTCCTGCATGCTCTGGGTCCAGTGTTTCTGGAAAATATGGCAACTCACAAAGACAAGTTCAGGTGACCCCTTAACAGCCCTTAACACTGTACATATCTGTGCATATATACACTTGGAGATATTACATTGTATGTACACGGATATGTATGTTTACATGGATTGTATACATGTCTTTATTCCACACACACATATACATACACACACACACACACATATAATGTTCATTTCCCTTTTTGCCCTCTCTTGCAACCGCCAAGATCTAAAAGCATTTACCCTTTGAATCACAGCTGTTTTATGTTTTTCATCCCCTATGTACCTGCCCCATCTCACACTCATCCAAGTATCCATTTGAAAAAAGAATAAGCAGGAAACACTTAAAAGATGTAATAAATGGAAATGTACATATGCTATTAATGAACACATTATCAGAAAAAAGTATGAAATACTAAAATGTTTTTTAAAAGAAAAGTTTTACAGCATAACAGAGATTCAGCAAAATGATTCTCCCTGAGCCAGCCATACCACATTTGGGAAGGTTCTTTGCATCCATCCACAAACAATATATTTTGTATTCAGTTCCTTACTTACATATATACTGTATCCCCCCAATAGAATGTAAGGTCCTTGAATGATGAGACTATGGCAGTTTTGTTTTATATCCTTAGTCTGTGGCACTGTGTTTGGCACATAAATCAATCAACCAGCATTTATTAAGTGCCTACTATGTGCTCGGTACTGTACTAGGGATACAAGTACAAAGAATGAAACAATTCCTATTTATATGGAGCTTACACTCTAATGGGAGAGAAGAGGAATATGTATATACACAACATAAATATGAGGTGAACAAATAGAAATAAATTCAAAGTAATTAAATAGCAGTTAAGTTGGGAGGGAAGGCACTAGCAGTTGGGAGGATCAGGAGAGAGACTTCATGCAGAAAATGGTGTTTGAGCTGCCTCTTTTATTCCCCCTTGATAATTAATTTATTTATTTTCAGTTTTCAACATTCACTTCCATAAGATTGTGAGTTTTAAATTTTCTCCTCCTCCCACTCCTCTTCCCCCCCATCTAAGACAATATGCAATCTGATATAGATTCTCTTTATCCATTCCTATTAAGCATATTTTCCCATTAGTCATGATGTAAAGAATAATCAGAATGGGAGGAACCACGATAATGAAGCAATGAAACAAAACAACAGAGGAAAAGGAGAGCAAATAGGATGCTCCCATCTGCATTCAGACTCCCTAGTTCTTTCTCTGGGTGTGGATGGCACTTTCCATCATGAGTCTTTTGGAGTTGTCTTAGATCCTTGCATTGCTCAGAAGAGCCAAGTCTGTCCAAGTCAGTCATCCCACAGTGTGGCTGTAACTGTGTACAATGTTCTCCTGGTTCTGCTCGTTTCATTCTGCATCAGTTCATGTAAGTCTTTCCAGGTTTTTTTGAAATCTCCCTGTTGAGCTGCCTCTTAAAGGAACAGAGGGATCTGTGAGATAGAGAGGTAAGGCAGGAGTACATTTTAGGCACGTGGGACAAAGAGGGTAAAATGATGGAGAGTGGGAGATGGAGGGTCATGTGTGAGGAATAGAGATAAGGCCAGGTTGGCTGGATCAAAGAATATGGGCGGGAGATTAACATCCTGAGAGGCTGGAAAGATAGTTTGGGGCCAGGTTGTAGAAGGCTTTAATAGCTAAACAAAGCAGTTTATATTTGATCTGTCTCAGAGGCAATAGGAAGCCAGTGGAGTTGGTTGGGTAGGAGAGTAATAATCTGTTGTGAGGGACTGTCTGATGTTGGCAACTACCAGGTTGGGTGCTGTGGCAAGGGTAGGATAGGATCTGGGTATTTTGGAAGTCGAGGCAGGGGCTGTGGTAGGCAGAGTCGTGTGTACTGGGATGGGCTGGATACGGAGAAGCCCTGAGGCAATTGGGCAATGCTTTGTGAGATAAGCTGGGTGCAAGGAAGTAGCCGAGCTTGAGCTCCTGAGGCAAGGGGCGGTACCACGTGGGAGTAGGACAGCAGAGGACTGAGTTCCCTCTGCTTAGTCCCCTCCCTATATGCAACGTCATCCCCAGACGCCTCTTGTGACCTTCCTGACTTCCTGGGTCCCTTTGTGCAGCACTGACCCAGTCCCCTCCTGAGTCTGACTTCCTAGGTCACGTACTCTTGTCTATGCGTCAATCCCAGATGCCTCCTTCCTGTATCCAATCCTAGCCTCCTACGTCACTCGCTCCCCCTTGGTGTGCTAAACTCAGACAGCCCCTTCCGGTATCTGACCCTACAATCATTGGCTAGTAGCAGGCTGGGGAGGAGGGGCTAGGTAGGTACTTAGGAACAAGGGTGGTCAGATCACACGTGCGCTCCCCTGGCTCCTGCCCTGTTGCTCTGGCCTTGCTGTTTGGGCTTGCTATGATGGTTTGCTGTGTTGGCCTCTGAATAAAGCTCTGGTGTTGGTGCCTCCCGATGGCTCGTCTCTGTGTGGGGATCCGGCTCAGAACCGAAGACCCAGGTGTGGGTAAGACTCTGGTAGTATACTTCTTTTAAGAGAAGTAGGTACTGGCGCACGACTGGCAGAAGGTCGGCGTGCGGCCTGTATAATCTGTGCTTAAGGAAAATAATTTTGGCAGCAGTGTGTATGATGTGATGGACTCAAGTAGGCAGACACTTGAGGCAGGGAGACCAGTTAGGAGGTAATTACAATATTCTAGATGAGAACTGATGGAGACCTGAACTGAGGGATAGCTGTGTGAGTAGAGGGAAGGGTTGGATGCAAGAGATGTGGAGGAAGACAGCAAGATTTGAGTATATAGGGCAAGATAAGAGTGAGGGATTCAGCACAGTGTCTGACACACAGTAAGTGTTGAATAAATGCTTGTTGACTTGCTTCTTGTTGACATGTCAAACTGAGCCTGGAAGAATGGTGGTACCTTTGACAGAAATAGGGAAATTTAGAAGAGAGAGGATTTTTGCAGGGGGAGGAGTAGATAATGAGTTCAGTTTTGTACATGTTGAATTTACAATGTTTCTGGGAG